GGGTGGCTCTAGCCTGTGACTTCCAGAAGCTGGGAGTGGACAACAGGAGATGGATCACTCCATGATTGTCTGGTCTGTTCATTCTCTGCCATTGGCCACAGTGAGAAGACAAGATATTGGGCTAGATGGATCATTGGTCTGACCCAGTATGGCCGTTCTTATGGTGTTCCCTAACTTTTGAGTGTTTGACTTTCTTTAATTTATCTTTTTTTTGGTGATTACTCGAATGAATGAGAATAACTACAGTTGAATTAGAGTAAAAATGTATATAGAGATATAATCCCCTTCTACTTCAGGGCATAATAAATAAACCAACCACAAACTGGATTAAGAACAAATTTAACTTGTGAGATTATTCCATAACCACAAACAAAACCTCAAAACAAAAGCCATAATGGATACCTTCCTCTGAAGCATCTGAGACTGGCCACTGGTGGAAATAGAATATTGAATTACATGTGCCACCAGTCTGTTCTGATACTGCTCGTCCTGTGTTCCTGTCTGCAGACTCAGGCAGATAGTGTTGCATTGTGGTCACATTCAGAAGGTTCTTTCACAACCATAAGGGCTAAACTTTTGTTTTGTTTTTAACGAAAGCTTAAATTCTATAGCGAGTGTTTCTCAGCCCAGGTCTACACTAGCAGGGCGTCGACCTAAGATACCCAACTTGAAGTCGGCATATCTTAGGTCGACTTACCTGGCTGTGAGGACGGCTGTGAGTCAACTGCTGCTGCTCCCCCGTCGACTCCGCTTCCGCCTCTCGTGAGCTGGAGTTCCGGAGTCAACAGGGAGTGCAATTGGGGATCGATTTTATTGCATCTAGACGCGATAAATCGACCCCTGATAGATTGATCACCCAGCTGATCCAGCGGATAGTGAAGACCTGCCCCTAGACGCCTCCTGAGTGGATTTGTCATATCCAGTTCTAAATAAGTGTGTCAAAATGTCCTTAAAATATCCCAGATTCTGCTTTATAGACTGTATTTTAGATAAGAGAGGCCCAGGTCTGGGGACTTACGACTCTAGGAAAGACTGGGCCCGGGAAAGCAGGACGGAGGGAATGAGGTGTCTCTGTTACTGCTCCTCAAACTACTAAAATGCTTTCACATAGGGGCCAAAAAGCGATTAGTAAAAGGAACAGGAAAACAAGGTGGGTGCAAAGCTTGTTTGGTCTCCGTGTGTCCCCCAGGCAAGACAGGTCTCTCCCTGTATCCCACAGAGAACACTGGGGGAGGAGGGTCTCTTCCCCCCTTTAGAGTAGCTATGGGGATCTTCCTACTCCCCCACCCATAGATAAGGTCCTTCTCCCGCCCAGAGAACTGCAGCTTTCTCTCTCTCTCTCTCTCTCTCAGGCCTCCACAGAGAACACTCCAGGTCTCCAGCTTCTGTCTGAGCGTGAATGGTTTCCTTGTTCCTGGGCACTGAGACCCTGTGCTGCCGCCTTCAGGTCCACTCTGGGAATTGGGGCATTCTCAGGGGGCTGGTGTGTGCAATGAGAGTAGGTCATGGTGAGGTGCACGAGCCATGTTTTCCGGGACAGAAGGAGTTAACCTTCCTAGTCCATCCTTCCTCACCCTCCTTCTCTCCCTCCCTCCCTCCAGCTGCTGCCTTTTGAGTCCTACAGCTAGGCCAGGGGCTGACCTTCACAGGCAGAGTTTGCTCACTGAGCATGCTCACTTCCTTCTGCTGTCTCTCATCTGCTCCAGGGACCCCTGTGCTCACAGGCAGCGTCCTGCTGGGAAGGAATGTATACAGCATATCCCGGCTCCAGGCTTCCCACAGGTCAGGGGCCCAGCTGTGGGACCACTAGCTCCTGCTCCCTGGCTCTCCCTGCCTGCACTGCTGGGAGAAGAGCCGGTGCCATTTGGTGCTGTTGGTGCTTCAGTGACTGAAGGAGAGATGGGGGGACATTAAGGGGGATTCCTGTTTTGACTGCTGCAGCAGCCAGCACTGGCTGAGGCAAGGCGTAGCCCTACACCACAAGACACTCCTTTCACACATTCATTGCTCAAATACTACAGTGACGGGGGCTGAGTAGGGATGGGGGTGGATTTATGATAAATAGATTTGGATCAGGTTCTGCTTTTTGTGGCATTGGGGTGAAGGTGTATCCATAAATTTATGGGACTGCTATAAACACCTGAAATAGAGGAGCTAGACAATAAATGTCTTTTCTTACATCAGCTAGGCTGATTCTGGGGAGCTGTGTCTTTGCAACCTCATGTCTTGCCGTGTGGCTGAGTGACAGCAGTTTTAATATCCTTTGTGTGTGTTGAACCTTTGTATCTGCCTGTATATTTGTGTGAATGTCTGTGTAAATGATGTATTTATCTTTTGTGTGTAGATATATTTGATTATATACGGGGGAGACTATATTAGAAGGGTTATTTATTATAGCTCCCATCCAATCATACAGAAGATGGGAATGAATTAGGGAGATTTTTATATCTATTTTATATTGTGATCTCTCCGAGGCTGGAATTGTTCATAGATTCATAGAGTTTAAGGCCATAAGGGATTGTTAGATCATATAGTCTGACCTCCTGCATAGCACAGACCATTACATTTCACCCCATTACCCCTGCATTGAGACTAGCCACTTGTTGGCTAACGTATCTTCCAGGAAGGCAACCAGTCTGGATTTGGTTAATTAACTCTGTGTTAGTTATTAGTATACTGATTAATAAAATGGGCACTGATTGGGATCCACATTAGAAATAATAGGAATACTTTTAGAGAGAGATGTTTCAATAATCCTATTGCCACTGAAGTTGGTGTTTTCCCCAAAGATGGCAGCACCAGAGATGGATGTGTTTTCTGATGAGGACTTCGCAGTGTTTGCTATGCTAAAAGCAGGACAAAGGGCTAGAAAGGATGGCCCATGCATTTCAGTATGCTTTTGGGACCTGAAAGGGAGAGGAGAGTGAAGAGATACAAGCCAGATGCTGCCTCACCAAAAATGGAGGAGACACACAGTTGTCTGGAACCAGATCACAGGTGTGTTTTGTCCAAGCCACAGATGGGTGGTCTGCTGGAAGAGATATGTTGGTCTGCTGGGCAGGTTCCTTCTGAGAGAGCTAGTTGACAGAAGCTCCCATCTTCCTAGCATTTCTGGTATTCCTGCAGGGATCCCTGGATACTAGTGCTTGGGTTAGGGCCACGCTGAAGAGTTAAGAAGTCCTGTTTCCCCTGTATGTGAGGGGCTGAAGGATTTTGGGGATTGATACGTTAACCCACAGATGCCTGTGACTTGCTGCTAAGTTCCAGTTTATTCAGTATTTCTTCTGTGGGTTTGTTTCTCAGTACAATGGTCTAGGCAGTGACATATCTGAGATCAGGTTATTTCCCTGCTCGTAGTCTGACCAGACAATTCTTAGCCCCTAAACAAGAATCTCCAGCAGAAGGATAGGATAAACCCCTCTTGTAACCTGGCAACATCTCCTGTATTGCTGTGGTAGGCAAACAGTGAAATGTCAACCCCTCACAAGCTGCAGACACACAAAAAGCTGTCAGTAAGCAGATTGCTGCCCCAGGCCACCACTGTCCATTCTACCATTATGGAAGAGCCAGCCCTGCTGAGTAGGGAATGGCTGCTATATTTGTCTACAGTCACTGAATTGCCAGCAGGGCCGGCTCCAGGGTTTTGGCCGCCCCCAGCAGCCAAACAAAAAAAACAAAAACAAACAAACAAAAAAAAGCCATGCTTCGCTCCGAGCAGGAGTGAGGGACCGTCCGCCGAATTGCCATGGAACAGCTTGATGTGCCGCCCCTCTCCGAAGTGGCCGCCCCAAGCACCTGCTTGGTAAGCTGGTGCCTGGAGCCGGCCCTGATTGCCAGTGTCCAACTCATTTGCTGGTGAAGTCTTAGGGCATCTGCAGTATGAAATGGGCTGTAAAATCTATATTACCTCACCCACCTTGTCACTCTAATGCCCTGGGACTGACATGGCTACAACAACACTGCATACATATGTAAAATCCATAGTCCGTGTCTCTTTACTTTACCCATCTCTTCTTTCTCTTTCACTTAACTGGGTGTGGCAGGTATACTCCATGTTCCCCATAGTATGCAGCTTTTATTTCCTGGGGAAAACATGCTTTCTTGTATACATTAGGCTTTTTGTTACACCTGGCTTGATATTTATGCCTAATGGCACCCACTGTGTTATTGTTTGTGCCTATCAATCACCTTTGAGGTGTCTGTCACTCTAGTATGTAAGAATAAGGGCAGGTCACCCTGGCAAGGTTATGGGGGTATTGTAGAAGGGGAGTAGCAAATCAAGCAGCATGCCCCAGTCACTAGCTCTATGCTACACTGACTCCTTTTGTCACAGACTCCCCTTCTCTGTGTCCTTTTTCTGTTCTCACACTCTCTCTCACACACGTTCTCACACTCACACACACACACCACATCACTCTCTTTTCCCAGCTCTCTCTCTCCTGCTATTTCTCTTTCTTGTCCAAAGGGCTTAGTTCTCAGTCTCATTTGCTGGAAATGCTGCCAGTGAATGTTTGTGTGTGCTGCCTGCCAGGTCTCTGGGGAAAAGGCCTGGAAATACAGTGCAGGAGGAGTAGTGGGAGCAGGGGAAAGCCATTGTTTCTCACTGCTTGCCTGGTGCATTTTCCAACTGGAAAAATCTCTCTGCGAGGCAGTGAGTTTCATGTCATTGCCGAAGCCCTGCCCCCCCATCCCATTGCTCAGAATTTGCCATCCCCTCATGCTGAGGAGGAGAGGTTGCCGTACTGCTACTAAAAAGCTCAGACGTGTTTTCAATTTGCCTCCTGCTTATCTCTGTTGTTTGGACAGAGAGGTTTAAAAAGCTGGATTTTCTGTCCCTGCAGAGTAAACACAGAGAACCCGGCAGCACAAACTATTTCTGGCTTATCAGTTGAGGAATGCAGCAGCTGAGGATTAGCGTGAGTGGGCCGTCAGGAAAGCCCTGAAGGGGCCCCCTCCCCACTCAGCTCTATTAGAAGTGTGAGAGCCCAGCAGGACTCAGAGGGGAGAGTTGGAGAAAAAGACAGAAAAGGGAAAGAAAGAGGAAGAGAGAGAGTGAGAGAGGCTGAGCAGACCCTGATGGCTACAGATGAAGTTACAGGAGGGGCTCGCAAAGCTACGAAAAGCAAACTTTTTGAGTTTCTGGTCCATGGGGTGGTGAGTCGGGAAAGTTAGTGAGCTGGCTTGGTCTGAATAGAGGAGTGAGTGGATACTGGAGGCTCTGTGCTGGGCTGAAAGCAGCTCCTACGATATCTTCTGGGGGCTTCTGCAAAATGCCGTATAGCTTGAACACAGGGATCTGTGAAGCCCCCAGAACATGCACTGAGTCCTTGGTAATGCAGGGTTGTGTTTGGAGGAATGTGTGCTGCAATTTCTGCTCTTGACTCTCCATGAATGGTGAATGGTTTGCTTTTGAACCTGATCACAGTGCAGGCTCTGAACTGGATCTGACCCTAATGGGCTCATTGGACACTCGGTTCTGTTGTCAAACTTTTGTGTGTTGTTTGTTTTTTAATTCAGATGAAAGCCCAGTGAAGCCTTGAATGGTGCTGCCTCTGGTACTTGTCTTATACTTAGCTGTCCTGTATCTTCTGGCTACCTAGGTGGCTTTGAGGGGTTCTAAGAGATTAGCTCTGCAGATCTTTAGCAGTCCGTAGGCACTCATTGGTTAGGGAATCTTAGGTGGTCTGAATGCTATGCTTTAAGGAATCATTAAATCTTTATAAGATTACTACAGTGTTTGGAGACCTCCTGACACTCAAGCTCCCCATTTATGGGGAATTGCAAGCCCCTATCCCACCGTCATTGGAGAACATGTTCTTTAGATGCTCCTGCCAGTGATTGAGAACAATCACAGCTTATGACATTGGAATTTCTTAAGGAGTCTTTAAATTTAGCAAACACCAGAGTACTGGAAAGTCCTAGGAGTACAAATGCTGAATGAATTTCAGTGATCATGTGTACTTTCTCTTTTGAGAGCTTCCTGCTATGACATTTCCAAGACATCAGCTGAGAGCTTCTATATCAAGATCACAGGAATCTTAAGCGCTCACTTTTCAGATTTCCCTAAGTGTCTTCATAATTCAGGACATGCCAATCCCGGCTGCTTAGAGTGTAACTTGTAATTTACAAACATTAGATACAGTGAGATCTGCAAGGCTAGGGACATTGAAGTGGTATGCTGTTTGTGTGAGAACTGAGAGATGATGACCATTGTACTTGTGTCCTACAGAACTAGTTAAGGAATATATTGTGAGAATACACCTGATATATAGGGCTGGCCTGTGGAGTGGCCTGGCAGTGCATGTGTGGGTGGACGTGCAGGTGTGGCCTGGTGGTGGGGGGTAGTGAGCGGGCATGTGGGCAGGGGCATCTGGGTTTCAGATGTGCAGGCATGTGGGGGCGGTATGGCAGTTGGCAGTTATGCAGGTGTGGCCTGGTGGTAGGTGGGTGGGAATACGTGGGGTGGGTGGACATGCGGGGTCAGCCTGGCAGGTGGGAGCAGCCTGGCAGCAGGCAGGGAATCATCTGGGGGTGGCCTGGAAGCAGATGGCTGGGGGCAGCCTGGGGGTGGGTAAGCAAGCATATGGGGTGGCCTGGTGGCAGGTGCATTGGCATGTGGGGGCAGCTTGGTGAGCTCATAGTCTGTCACTCAGGAGTGGCCTGGCAGCAGAAGGGTGTGTGGATGGGCACATGGGTGTGACTTGGTAGCGTGTGGCAGGCTTGCAGAGTGGCTTGGCGGTGGATGGGTGGGCATCTGGGAGTGGATGAGCATGCAAGGATGGTCCGGTGGAAGGCAGGTGGGTGGACGGACACGTGGGGTGTCTTTTTTTTTTTTTTTTTTTTTTTTTTTACAGTTTCCAAGGTTGTTTTGGTAATTCCAGACTAATTAACTTTTCTATGGTACTAGGAAGATAAAGAACATAAGAATGGCCACACTGGGTCAGACCAACGGTCCATCTAGCCCAGTATCCTGTCTCTGACAGTGGCTGGTGCCAGAGGCTTCAGAGGGAATGAACAGAACAGGGCAATTGTCCAGTGATCCATCCACTGTTGTACAGCACCAGCTTCTCTCAGTCAGAGGATTAGGGATACCTGTTTGGCTGAAATGGTTATTGCAAAACACCTACATGGACATGGTGTGATAGAGAAAAAATGGCTTCTGTAAAGGAGAATCAGGTCTCTTCAATGTTTGAAATTTTTGAGGGTGTTGACAAAATGGTGGTTACAAGGGAACTGGTTTCCATTGTTTATTAGGACTTTCAAAGAGCCTTTGATGTAGTTTGTCAAAGAAGGGTATAAGGAAATTATTTCCTTCTCTGCATTGGGATTTCAGCCATAAGACTGTGTAGCTATAGTTGTGCAAGCCCCTGGTGTAGACACTTTTGCACCGTGACTTGCTTTAGTGCAGCTTTTCCCTGGTTTCAAGATCTGACAGGACCTCCTCTGCCCCATTCACCCCTTTATCCCCTCTCCATCAATGAAGTTGAGGCTTCTTGCCTGTTCTCCTCTAACCTGTACACCTGCCCCAGTGACCCCAATGCTTCCTGCTTGCTTATCTCCCTCACCTCCACTCTCATCTCCTGCATTGCCCTTCTCTTGAATCTCTCGCTTTCCCTGGGCTTCTTCCCTTTACAACATAAGCACAGCTTAGTCTTCCCTATCATAAAAAGTAACCCTTGACCCTAACTGCCTCCTCAACTACTGTCCCATCTCCCTTCCTCCGCCTACATAATTGAACGTGCCATTTGCAATTGTTGCCTTGATCTCTGTCTATCTGAGCGATCGATCATCACCATAGTATCTGAGTCCCATTCATGTAAAATCAACGGCAATAAGAAAATCCCAAATAGATTTATTGAAGTCTGTGGCTCTCCTCTCTGTTTGGGATAAAAGCTCTTGCTGGGGTAGTGTTTTCGTTTATTTTGGTTGGTTGGTTTGTTAGTGGGGGGGATGTTTGAGGTATGTGGGGGTATCGAGACTCTGAATGTCATTCTTGCTATGAGGAGTCCCGTGGCACATTAAAGACTAACAGATTTATTTGGGCATAAGCTTTCGTGGGTAAAAAAAAAACCCTTCTTCAGATGCATGGAGTGAAAATTACAGATACCAGCATAAATATACTGGCACATGAAGAGAAGGGAGTTACCTTACAACTGGAGAACCAGTGTTGACAAGGCCAATTCAGTCAGGGTGGATGTGGTCCGCTCCCAATAATTGATGAGGAGGTGTCAATACCAAGAGAGGGAAAACTTTTGTAGTGAGCCAGCCACTCCCAGTCCCTATTCAAGCCCAAATTAATGGTGTTAAGTTTGCAAATGAATTGTAGCACTGCAGTTTCTCTTTGAAGTCTGTTTTTGAAGTTTTTTTTTGAAGGATGGCTACTTTTGAATCTGTTATTGAATGTCCAGGGAGATTGAATTGTTCTCCTACTGGCTTTTGTCTGTTACCATTCCTGATGTCCGATTTGTGTCCATTTATTCTTTTACATAGAGATTGTCCGGTTTGGCCAATGTACATGGCAGAGGGGCATTGCTGGCACATGATGGCATATATCACATTAGTAAATGTGCAGGTGAATGAGCCCCTGATGGTGTGGCTGATGTGGTTGTTACAGGGATTGGTTCCTGGGTTAATGTTTCTGTGGTGTGGTGTGTAGTTGCTGGTGAGTATTTGCTTCAGGTTGGGGGGCTGTCTGTAAGCGAGGGTTGGCCTGCCTCCCAAGGTCAGTGAGAGTGAGGGATCGTTTTCTGGGATAGGTTGTATATGGTTGATGATGCGCTGGAGAGGTTTTAGCTGGGGGCTGTACGTGATGGCCAGTGGTGTTCTGTTATTTTCCTTGTTGGGCCTGTCCTGTAGTAGGTGACTTCTGGTTTCCCGTCTTGCTCTGTCAAACTGTTTCCTCACTTCCCCAGGTGGGTATTGTAGTTTTAAGAATGCTTGATAAAGATCTTGTAGGTGTTTGTTTCTGTCTGAGTGATTGGAGCAAATGCAGTTGTATCTTAGGGCTTGGCTGTAGACAGTGGATCGTGTGATGTGTCCTGGATGGAAGCTGGAGGCATGTAGGTAAGTATAGTGGTCAGTAGATTTCCGGTATAGGGTGGTGGTTATGTGACCATCACTTATTTGCACTGTAGTGTCCAGGAAGTGGATCTCTTGTGTGGACTGGTCCAGGCTGAAGTTGATGGTGGGGTGGGAAATTGTTGAAATCCAGGTGGAGTTCTTCAAGAGCCTCCTTCCCATGGGTCCAGATGATGAAGATGTCATCAATGTAGCGCAAGTAGAGGTGGGGCGCTAGGGGACGAGAGCTGAGGAAGCGTTGTTCTAAGTCAGCCATAAAATTGTTGGCATACTGTGGGGCCATGCGGGTACCCATAGCAGTGCCACTGACTTGAAAGTATAAAGTTGTCCCCAAATCTGAAATGGTTGTGGGTGAGGACAAAGTCACAAAGCTCAGCCACCAGGTGTGCCATGGCCTCATTAGGGATACTGTTCCTGACAGCTTGTAGTCCATCCTCGTGTGGAATATTGGTGTAAAGAGCTTCTACATCCAGGGTGGCCAGGATGGTGTTTTCAGGAAGATCACCAATGCATTGTAGTTTCCTCAGGAAGTCGGTGGTGTCTCGAAGATCGCTGAGAGAGCTGGTAGTGTAGGGTCTGAGGAGAGAGTCCAAATAGCCAGATAATCCTGCTGTAAGAGTGCCAATGCCTGAGCTGATGGGGTGTCCAGGATTTCCAAGTTTATGGATCTTGGGTAGCAGATAGAATACCCCTGGTCAGGGCTCTGGGGGTGTGTCTGTGTAGATTTGTTCCCGTACTGTAGCTGGGAATTTCTTGAGCAGATGGTGTAGTTTCTTTTGGTACTCTTCAGTGGGATCAGAGGATAGTGGCCTGTAGAATGTGGTGTTGGATAGTTGCCTGACAGCCTCCTGTTCATAATCCATCCTGTTCATGATGACTGCAGCACCTCCTTTGTCAGCCCCTTTAATTATAATGTCAGAGTTGTTTCTGAGGCTGTGGATGGTGTTGCATTCTGTACGGCTGAGGTTATGGGGTAAGTGATGCTGTATGTTCACAATTTCAGCCTGTGCACGTCTGCGGAAGCACTCTGTGTAGAAGTCCAGTCTGTCATTTCGACTGTCAGGAGGAGTCCATGC